CCCCAAAACCCCAAAACCCCAAAACCCCAAAACCCCAAAACCCCAAAACCCCTGAGTTACACAGTTAAATTGAAGAGGAATTTCCCGAATCTTCTTATTAATTCTCGAACCTACCTAGAATTATAGTGAAAAGTTGTTGGAGTGATGGGGATTGGAGATTTTAGGACTAGTTTTTTTAATTTGCTTTCTTACGAGTGTAGGTTTGGTTCCTTTTGTGAGCAATTGATCAATCTGTAATCTATGAGAACTGCTTCACATAACATTCATCTATTATTTAGTTCTGCTAAAACAAATTTATGATTTGTTTAAGAATTTAGCATTAATACTTAAAAAATCCAAAATTAAATTTATAAATAAATATTAAAAACATTACAAAAATGTCTACCGCCATCGGAATTGACTTGGGAACTACCTACTCTTGTGTAGGAGTATGGGCCAACGATAAAGTTGAGATCATTGCCAATGATCAGGGACAGAGAACTACTCCATCCTATGTTGCTTTCACTGACACTGAGAGACTCATTGGAGATGCTGCCAAAAATCAGACTGCGAGAAATCCAAAGAACACCGTCTTTGATGCTAAGAGATTGATCGGAAGAAAGTTTGCTGAAAGATCCGTCCAAGAAGATATCAAGCTCTGGCCATTCACTGTTAAGTCAGCTGGAGATGCTGAAGATAAGCCAATTATTGAGGTTCAATTTAAGGGAGAGACCAAAAGCTTCCAGCCAGAACAAATCTCTTCAATGGTCTTGACCAAGATGAAGGAAGTTGCTGATTCTTACCTCGGTAAGAACATCAAGGATGCTGTCGTCACCGTACCAGCTTACTTCAATGACTCTCAGAGACAAGCCACCAAAGATGCAGGAGTTATCGCAGGATTGAACGTTCTCAGAATCATCAATGAGCCAACAGCAGCTGCTATTGCTTATGGATTAGATAAGAAGGCTACTTCTGAAAGAAACGTACTCATCTTCGATTTGGGAGGTGGTACTTTCGATGTCTCCCTCCTCACCATTGAAGATGGTATCTTCGAAGTCAAAGCTACTAGCGGAGATACTCATTTGGGTGGAGAAGATTTCGATAACAGACTTGTCAAGTTCTGCCAAAAAGATTTCGAGAAGAAAGCCAAGATTGATATTAAAGACAACCCTAGAGCCTTGAGAAGACTCAGAACTCAATGCGAGAAAGCCAAGAGAATCTTGTCTGCTGCTGTCAATGCCCAGATTGAGTGTGAAGCTCTTGCTGAAGGAGAGGACTACAACTGCACCATCTCCAGAGCTAAATTCGAAGAGCTCTGTATCGACTTGTTCAGAAAATGTATCCCACCAGTAGAGAAAGTTTTGAATGACTCAGGACTCTCAAAGGACCAGGTTCATGAGGTCGTTTTGGTAGGAGGATCTACCAGAGTTCCAAAGGTTCAGCAACTCATCAAGGACTTCTTCAATGGAAAAGAGCCAAACAAATCCATCAACCCAGATGAAGCTGTTGCTTATGGCGCTGCCGTCCAGGCTGCCATTCTTACTGGAGAAGGTGATTCAAACGTTAAGGACTTGCTCCTTCTCGATGTTGCTCCACTTTCCCTCGGTATTGAGACTGCTGGAGGTGTAATGACTGCTCTCATCAAGAGAAACACTACCATCCCAACCAAGAAGTCCCAGACTTTCACCACCTACGCTGATAACCAACCAGGAGTATTGATCCAGGTTTACGAAGGAGAAAGAGCCATGACCAAGGACAACAACATTTTGGGGAAATTTAACTTGGAAGGTATCCCACCAGCTCCAAGAGGTGTCCCACAGATCGAAGTAACCTTCGACGTTGATGCCAATGGTGTCCTCAATGTCTCTGCTGTCGATAAGGCCGGAGGTAAAGAGAACAAGATCACCATTACCAACGATAAGGGAAGACTCTCCAAAGAAGATATTGAGAAAATGGTCAACGAAGCCGAACAATACAAGGAAGAGGATGAGGCTAACAAGAAGAACATTGAAGCCAAGAATGCTCTCGAAAACTACATCTACACCGTCAAGAACTCTCTCGAAGAAGAGAAGCTCAAGGACAAATTCACTGACGAGGACAAGAAGACCATCAATGAAGCTACTGACGAGACCAAACAATGGTTAGAGAGCAATCAGGAAGCTAAGACTGAAGAATTCGAGGCTAAGCTTAAGGATCTCGAAGGAAAATTCAACCCAATCATGATGAGAATCTACCAATCTACCGGTGGTGCCGAAGGAGGTATGCCAGGCGGTATGCCAGGAGGCATGCCAGGAGGCATGCCAGGGGGAATGCCAGGAGGTATGCCAGGAGGCTTCCCGGGAGGTGCTCCAGGAGCTGCACCAGGAGGAGACGCCGGAGCTGGAGGAGTTGATGATCTTGACTAAATTCGAATGTAACCTAAGTTATTTTAAATATCTCCAAAATTTAATTTCAATCGAAACTAGGTGAACCGGGGTTTTGGGGTTTTGGGGTTTTGGGGTTTTGGGGTTTTGGGGTTTTGGGGTTTTGGG